CATACATACATACATACATACATACATACATACATACATACATACATACATACATACATACACACACACACACACACACACACACACAAACACACATACATACACACAGATTGACTTTGATTCCATGTTATCAAACACTAACCATTCTCTAGACATGCTTCTCTTTAACTGTCAGTACTATGGAAGCTATTGAAATAAAACAGACGGCTAGTTGTTATGCTGCAACCAATGCCATCATTGATTTTATGAGTACTGCTATTCTTTCACATACTCCTCTTTGGAAAAGCAGTAATGTCTGTGGAGAGAACTGACTTCAGTTGACCAATAAAATATAATTTGAATATGTCTGGCTGGCAAGTGATAGAAAAATATCTGCAAAGTAGGAAATTATCCTAGAAAGCTATGTATAATAGGATGTTGGGTGTTGGGAACTCCAATGACATCTCATGCAGAACTTCTATTAGCATAATTATGAGAAGATAATTTTGCTTTCCTAATACAGTCCTTTGAGTACCTTCAAAATCTGATCTGCAAGTTTTAAGGGAAGAGAAATTGCAGAATAGAATTGAAGAACTAATATCCCACTGTCCCAAAGGTGCTTTTTCAAGAGGCAACTTTCTGATTTTTCTTTGAAGACATTTCGCTTCTCATCCAAGAAGAGCTGAAAAAGTGTCTTGGATGAGAAGCAAAACATCTTCAAAGAAAAACCAGAAAGTCCAGTTGCCTCTTGAGAAAGCACCTTTGGGACATCCATCACCTGGATGACTGAGAATCTCTATAGACATTTAACGTCCCACTGAACAAGCAGAGTTGCTATACAATATAGCATTCTAAGTATGAGCTATAGCTGCCTCCTTCAATGTAGTAGTGCCTATAGATGGGTTTGGCTTTGAACTTTGGGAGTTATAGTACTCACCTATCTGAAGAATCCCTGGTTGGGAAAGGCTGTACTATGAACCTTACCATTTTCATTCTTACTAGTTACAGATTTGCAGAGGTGAACAGTGGGGAAATTCAAATGATAAACTAATACAAAAATGCATTGAGATCCTTTAGTTCTCTTAAGCTGGCTGTCAAGGGAGGAGTAGGTTATAGGAATTGCAGCAGAAACAAAGCAGAGGTGAACTTTAGAAGCTTTTGCCACTATAATAAAGTTGAATTGGGTTAGGTTGGATATAATTTAAAAAAACCTATAGGGCTAATAATGAATAAGAAACCTATATTACCGTGACATTCCAAAATCTGACACTTTGACAACTTGAAATTCGCCCACCAAACAGTTCCGAGCAGCCTGCAGGAAAGAAAAGACAGGGTATATTTGTAGAAAGTAATATGAGCCACATTGTACAATACCTACATTTATCACTGACAGAAAATCCTTTATCAACTTCTGGCAAACAGAAAAAAATGAACTTCACCAGTGACCAGGATATGAATGACCATGAACAGGGCATGATGATCCAGGAGTGGGTATAATTGGTACAAAAGATGAAGCTGTACAATAGCCCCCTAATTACTGGATTTCATCTGCTTTTTGAGCAGCAGCCATAAGTCTAGAACAGTGATGGTGAAACTTTTTTGGCTCTCGTACCAAAAGAGGGGGGAGTGCAGGGGGGTTGTGTGTGGGTGTGCCACACCCATAATGCTATGCGCAAAACCACAGCACGCATGTACGCATGACCAGCACTTCCCCCATTTTTTGCATGCTTTTTTCACCCTCCCCAGGCTCCAGAGGCTTTATAGGAGCCTGGGGAGGGTGAAAACAGCCCCCCCAGAGGCTTTCCCTGAAGCCTCCGGAGCGCGAAAAACCAGCCCTACCGGCAAACTGGAAGTTTGGGGATGGACTTCCAGTTTGCTCATAGTGTTGTTTTTTTGCCCTCCGGAGCCTTCAGGGAAGTTTCCTGAGGACTCCTGAACACACTGGAGGGCTAAAACCAGCCCTACGAGCAAACCAGAAATCCGTTCCCAAACTTCCGGTTTGCCCACAGGGTTGTTTTTCGCACTACGGAGGCTTCAGGGAAGCTTCTGAAGCCTCTGGAGGGTGAAAAATGGCCTCAAACGAAGGCCAAAGAGTGCACGCTGGCCTGCAAGCCTCACGTGCCCTGACAAATGGCTCCACGTGCCACCTGTGGCACACGTGTTGTAGGTTCGTCATCACAGGTCTAGAAGATTCTGTAAATGGAGCTCTGGCTTTGTTTGAGGCTATGCTATCCCATCCGGAAAGAAAGATGGAAAGTCTCTGCATCCAGGATGACCCATAATCCACTAGCATTCAATTTTATGAAGGTAGATTTTGAACCTGTTTTTTTTTCTATCCAGTCCTTTATAATCCTCTCTATCTAGGCCCTGCAGACAGAATCTTGGTGTGTTATCATATATTATCATACCAAATAACAATAAGAAATTAGCAAACCTATGAAGACATTAAATTTACATAGAAAGCTACTGGGCACTACAAAACCAAATAAAACTAATAAAGAATTTAACACTCACACATAGAAGGAATAATAAGAAATATTGCACAATCCACAGTTGTACAATCCCCACTGTTGGTCCAAACGCTGAAAGCCTTCTTACATTAAAATTTAAAGATAAATGTAAATTTTACAATAAAATTTAAAGATAATATAATTTCATTTTTATGCTGACTTTTTATGGTATAGATTTCTTTGCAGGGAAACCAGATGTGATCCAGACATACCAGATCTCTATGAATGAAAGATGCCTCCTCAAGATAAGCCATTCCCTCACACACATCTTGACACATTCCAAGAAGTTCTTCCTTTGATAAGGTTCCACGTTGCTTCTTCAGGTAATCAGATAAACATCCAAACTCCATGAACTCAAATACTAGACATATAGGAGAATTTTGCAGGCATACCCCATGTAACTGGACCAATTTGGGATGAGAAAGTTTCCTGATGATGCAAAAAGATGAATCAGGAATTTTCAACAGAAAATGAGGAAGAATACCATAAAAGAAGAAACCCAGATATATGATGGATATACTAAGAAAGAAAGAAAAAGGGAAAAGTGTGATTATTGTAAATACCACACCACATTTCCCTCATTCACTATGGATAATTGTTGAAATGGAAATCAATTGTGAAGTTACTCTTTTCACACATATACAAAATTTCACTATTTTTTGAAAAATAAGAATGTTGTTAAATATGTTGTTCATAGACTCACCGTGAATAAAGTTTACCTCAAAGAAAAATAATTTTCTTAAAACTTAATTGCAAACAGTATTAGAGATTGTATTTTGTAGAACTTGTAACAATACAGCAATATAGCAACTTCAATCAAGGACCCAATTGTTTAATGCCTGATAGTGCCAATCATGTTTAGGAGACAGTCATGTTTGTGAGACATAGCAAAACAGTGTAAGAAAGATTTTTTTAAAATTACAAAGCAGTCATATTTTAAATTTCTTTGTGAGTGCCAATGATAGAAACTCTACTTCAAAAGTAGTACATAGCAAACATTCTGAAGATATCTAAAAGGAACACGCATAGAAACCAAAAACTGACTACCATTATTTAATGCACATGCTTTAGAAGCTTTATGCCATTAGACTTGCCTAATGTTAAAAATGCCTGATGTCAACTTGAGACTAAGAAGCATTACACATTTGCTAATATTCATACAAACATAGGCACATAACTGTAGACAACAACATTCATTTGATAATTCTAATTCTTCCAGTAAATATTTATAGAAGAGATGTGTCGATCACATCATATCTTTTAATTTCATCCATGATGCACAACCTTCAATGTTGCTTTGAAGAAACAAGTTGGAAGAAGAATCTAAGTTTAATTATAAAAGTAATTTTAAAAGTTTGTGGTCAGGCTTATCAAAATTCTTTAAAATAAATAATAATATGAGCCACATCAAATAATTAAAACTTATGTCACTGAATTATTCATTGTATAAATAAAATGGGAATTTAGTAGGTGTTTATACTACTTACATCATGACTTGGGCCTCTTCAATAAAGTCTTCTTCTGACATTGTTCCTGTGCGAATTGTCTTTATGGCCACTTTCATCCGATCAAGCCAGTTGCCAAGATGAACCACCCCAAACTCACCAACACCAATCTCCTGTTCAAATGTTAGTTCTTGCGGATTAATAATCCATTTGCCTAGGAAAAAGCAAAAGAAAAACAACCTAATAATTGCTTTTGTCCAATAAATAATAATTGTTATATAATCAATAGTGCCAGTGTTTGTGTATGTGGAAAGAACTTGATTAGGTCATTTAATTTATTAGGTCATTTAATTCATTAAGGTCATTTGATTAGGTCATTTAATCATTTAATCATTACTTCCTCTCAGATTGTGCACCCTTATTCCCATTCACAGAAACAAAGAAGCTTTGTGACTGCCTTATTTACCCTTATTTAAGTTTTAAAGAAAAGAAATTTCATTTTGTTTCAAAGTAAAAAAATAAAAAATACAAGCCCTTTTAGCAAAACATCTAGTTTACTTACCATAACTTAATCCAGCTGTAACAGGGGCTTTTGCTCTCCAGGTGGAGACAGCATATCTCAACCGAGTAACAAGACCTGTGTTTTGAAGAAATGTACAAATACATTTTTAAAAAGACTCAAAAGTAGGGGGATTTTGTAACTCAAGATTGAAATGAAGGGTCCTTGATGCTTTCTGAGCTTGGGCATTTCATTACCCAAACTAGATAACATCATGAGCGCTAGTGATATACTAGCATTGATGTTGTTACCTGGTTTGGGTAATGAAATGTCTGCAAGAAAACAACCAAGCCCAGAAAGCACCAAGGACCTCTCCTAAATGCCAGCTTTTGGCAGCTTAGAAAAAAAAATGATGGCCATAAAATAGAATTATGGAGATGTGCTATAAGAATGTACCTTAGAATCAAATATAGAAATAATGAGGTTACCAATAAAGTATATCAAAACAATTTTCCTATTATGTGATTTTTTTTCATCAAGATCTATGAAGTTTTGAATATGTAGAATATAGGCACTTTGACCATGTACCTGATCATGGTAATCATTTTATATTAAATTTCTCCCAGAATATCTAGAAAAGCAAGGAATATAGGCTTCCTGTAAGAGATCCAGTAGTCAGGAAACTTTCAGCATTTGATGATACTAAGTAAATTGATATTCATTTATACCAAGGGCTTTGATAATAAGGAATTATTTAAAACATCAGATGTCAAGATAATTTTTCCTTCCATTTTTTAGAATCTTAGAATTAAATAAGAATCTGCATCTTCTTACCTTTCTTGTCTGAACTTACCTCCTGCATTATACTGATGATAATTGATCAATTCCGGGATACAATCAAAAACATATTTCTCTGCCAAGTAATATCTCTTGGGCTTGTCACTGGTTTCCTTGATGTGATAGTGCTTTATAACAGAGCTATTGTCATTGCTAAAAAGACAGAAAATATGTCTCCTTAAAATAAGTAAAGGCAGCTAAAAAGTCCAAGTAAGGCAAAATGACCAATGATTCATGAAATATCAATCCAATTCGGGTTTGAACCATTGAATAAATATTATGAACCATTTTATTAGAGTCTGCTACCTATACAGTTCCACAGTATTTTTTTTTCTGTAAAACTTTTTAATGTGAAACTATATTTTTTTTCTTGTCATGTTGTTTCTTCAAACAAGTACCAGAATGCCACACTCTGGAAAGTCTAAACTGGGAGACTAAATTGGCTAGAATATATGCAAGTTCTACCATTACTTCAAAATGAAAAAATAAAACAAATAGCCTTTTCCTCTGATTTTGAAAGAATAATCTTGGAATTAGAGAAAATACCAAAAGATCTGTGTAGAAAATTTATTGGTATTATTAAATGTCTCTGAAAAGCCACATGTTACATATTTAGGAAAATTGGGGGGGGGGGAGGAATACAGAAAATAAAAACTGTAGTTCTTTATCTAGGCTGAAACTATTAAGATTCGACTTTGGAAAGATTGAAGAACATTCACTGAAATGAATACATCAATGATATCATATTCTATTATTTTATTTTAAAAAATGAAGACTATTTCTCTAAATAGTTCAAAGAGATAGCAACATATAATTGTGTTTGCTGGGATTATTTAAAGAACCAATAATTCTGAAAACTAGCTTTTAGAGAAATATATAAATTATTTATTGAGTGCCCAAGGGTTGAAGACACTTGCTTCCCACTTGGAAGGTTGAGAATTTAATTCTAGGTAGCAGCAGATGTTTCTCTCCTAGGACACAAAGAAAAAATATCTACTGCTTATTCCATGTAGGCATCAGGAAGGGCATGCTCAGGTCCATCCAGTCACCCCAACTCTACCCCAAATTAAGGGATTATAGGGTTGTAAAAATGAAGTGTTTACAAAAATTGTTTATTGTTGCAGCAACATCAAAATTATGCCTTCTGTTAGTGTTGAGAAATTAATATTGAAAACAAATGTATGTTTATCTGAGGAATAACCTCCTATATTCATCCATCAATTAATCAGATTAAATAGCACCAACTCTTTCTGGGTAGCATTACTAAAGGATTGTCACTTGATGAAGCCTTGTAAGGGGTCCATGTTGAATTGCTATTGACCCTTCGGCAGGTTTGGTTATCTATCCATTTGGGCATTAGGAATATTGAGAAAAAAGCTACCTGTTCCATGTGTTGCAATTGCAAGGAGAGTTTGCTGGTGCAGGATATTTGTATGTTTTAGTTTTTTTCCCCCATACTCTTTTAAGTGCATTTGGAATTAGGGGGTCATTTTTTATATGTTGACACTTAGCTGTGCAGATCTTTGGGGAATAAGCAGCAGACAAGCAGAGCAGAGCAAATGAATAATTCAGAGGGCAGCAAGAATACCTATAGCCTAAAAATAATGATAGTAATAGCACATTTCAACAGCACATCAATTATTAGAAAGTGTATTAATAAGTCAGGATATTAGATATAACATCAATTTTTACCTTATTTTCAATTATCAAGTTATGCTAAAAGGCATTTGTCACAAAAATTGTGCAAAACAAGATAAAGATGAATTACTATCGTGAAGAGAAAGATCTCCAAAAATGTCATGAAAAAGTCATATATTACAATAAATTATTTTTATATATTTCCAATGCCTGACAAAGTATTACTGAATATTAATTTTTATTTAAATGCTTTTTAAAAAAATGCTACCTCTCCTAAGATCTAGCTTACTTTAATGCTTTTGTGAAGACAGAGACTGTATAGGTGCCAGGTTGCCTTGAGTCTCTCACCATGAAAGCTCCTTCTTTATTCTGCAGAAAGATGAAATACATTGAATTTACAAAGGAATCTGTAAAAAGACCAGTTTTAAAGTCTGAAATGCTACGCAAGCATTCATTCATTCATTCATTCATTCATTCATTCATTCATTCATTCATTCATTCATTCCAGTTGTGGGAACTTCTGGACAAGTCCATGCCATCCTTTTGGCAACACATTTTTCAGTAGTAGGTTTGTAAAGAGAGTGACTTTCCTAAAGTTACCCAGCTGTCTTTGTGCCTAAGGCAAGACTAGAATTTGGGGTTTCCTGCTGGTAGCCCAGCACCTTAACTGGCTGACCAAATGTATCCACTGCTAATCATATAATAAAGGCATTTATACTTCATGCTTGTAAATGTACACATAGATTCATACACAATTTGCCTAAAGGGAAGTAAAACAAAGCAAAAGCACAAAAGAGCAAGAAAAAGAGAAGATGTCTAACAAGGAACAGACCAAACACCCTCAAAGTTATGGACAATGGACAGGAATGCAGTAATGTCAAATTAATCTGAACAGTCGGGCTTATTTTAGTTTCCAAAATAGTCAAAAGTTGCTGAAAGCTAGAATTTGTCTTCTGTTTTAGTTGCACCAAAAGTAAATGCTTGTTCTGCATTGGTATCTCATATTTTCCAATAGCAGTCTTCCTCCAAAGACTCAGGCCATCAATAGATAGTGATTTTGCCTATATTTTATATGTTCAGCAATCATATCAGGGAAGCAGACAGACTGGGGAACAATGAGTGGGAATTATAATTTACAATAACCACCATAACCAGCCAATTCAAATTAAAGATTTTTAACCAATTCAATTCAAAACTACTACTCGATTTCCTCATTACATCACTGTATGTTAATTTCCTATATGCCCAAGTAAGTGAAGCAAGACCTTGATTTAAGTACAGTAAAATGTGGGTACTATCTAAAGGGAATTACGTTACCTCTTCCCTGAGCATTGTTTCTGCTTTGGTTCGGTTGATATTCTTGTTGTACCAGCTGCAATGATTAAATACAAAGCAAAACATATTGCGTGTCAAGTGGAACCAATTCATAAACAGCATTAATGTTTGATATCATGGCAAATAAATAAGATATTTTTGTAGATACTAGTAGTCCTGAGGTCATGATGGTAATTGGAACCAGAATTTCCATTCCTAAGCAATTTCCAGTCATAAAGCACAACCACATTGGTTAACAATATGAATGCCAGCAGTGCTCATTGTCATTGTTAATTGAATCCAAATTGTCACAATTCAAGGACCACACCAATTTAAGACATTCCTGTCTTGGTTCCTTCCAGTCTCAAGCCTTGGCAAGGAGAGGAACTTCCTCCTCTTGAGCTACCCCCCTCTGCTCAGCTTTGTCCTTCTGGCCACCCTGTACAGGAGCACTCCTTGGCAGTGATGGTAGTGCAAGGATGAATGAGATACCTGGAAGTCTCAGTCAGCCACTGTTGCCCGCAGGCCTCTAACGTCTGCCCCAGCACCGCCACCCCACCCCTGCTGCTGAGAAGCCCATGGCACAATCAGTTGCCCTAGTGCCACAGGGCAAAGCACCAGGTGCTCTGGCCATCCTGCACTCCATAGACCAGTGATGGCTAACCTTTTCGGCATCAAGTGCCCAAAGCAGGCGGTGCATGTGCATCCCCAAAATGCAATGCATGTGTGCATGCCCCCCACAACCGCTGTGTGACCCCATGCTCCAGTCCCCCCCACATGCATCCACCCCCCCCCACGCATGCACAGCAGAGACACAAAGACCAACTGGCTGGTGGGAGGCGTGCATGCGCAGCAGAGCTGAGCTGGGGCAACGGCTCGAGTGCCCGGAGAGAGCGCTCTGTGTGCCATAGGTTCGCCATCATGGCCATAGACCCTGCTGTCTCTAGCTGACTGTCACCTTCTCTTTCCTTCCACTGCTGACAAGGCAATATGCCTGGACTTATGCGAGGCAGCTGCTTGCTGTGCCAGGCCTTCTTCCTGAGGCTGCCTGTGCCATTGAAATCCTTCCAAAACATTGCATGAGTTGGAGGAGATGGGCACAGCCTTCTTACAAGCTTTTGGAAGGCCTTGTCAACAGCAAGTATAAGTAGATGGCAAAGGTCAGCTGATCCTGACTAAAATCACATCTGATAAAAGGAAAGGAAAACTGAGATTTCTATTTCTTTCTGTGATCTCTAAAAAAAGAAGAATGTTAATTTAACCCAGCATTGCTTGAGAGTTCTGTCCAACTAACATTTTTCTATTTGCTTTTACTCAAAATATTTTTCCAGCTTTATGATTTTTTTCTATTTGCTTTTGAATGCCATTATTAGTTATTTTCTAATAAAAATTGAACTGACATCTTAATGTTAAGATTTAAAAATTACATAATTCAAAGTTTCAGTTATAACTTGATAATGATATTACATACAAAGAAGCAACACATTCTTACTTATATATTTGAAGATTGTCTGGTGATTTTTCTACTATGTAGCTGCTTGGCACATATCCTTCATGCCTGCAACAAATAAGTTGTTCTATTAAAAGATGAAAAACTTCAGCATATGACTTCATTAAAATTGTCTGTTAGAGCAGAATACATGATACCAAACCTTCTGCTGATGGAATTAATGAGTAAATGGCACCATTTCTTACTGAATACAGAAAGTAAAACTTTCAATTTTATTTCAAAGCATATTATTATTTATTATTCATATGTCATATCATCCATGGACTTGCAACAAAAATTAACATTTCATCTAAATTTGTAAAAGACAATAACACATACATGTTAAAAAGATTTATGTCCAAATATATAATTTGGATTTATTTATGTCTAGGCCATCTAAAACATAACAAAATATATTATGTGTCTTACTCATCATGGACTGTCCTTAAGGTACAGTGCAGTAATCCAAGACAGGAAAACAAAATTAATTAGAAATGTACAGCATATGGGGAAAATGTAATGTAGGAGGGAATTAGAACATACATTTTATTAAAAAAAGAAAAGGTCTCTTTTTTTTCTATAGACCTACCCATTCTTATCCTCAACCAACCACCAATGGACTTCAGAGTTATCAATAACATAATATTCCTCATTGCATCGTAATGTCAATTCCTGAGAATTCTGAGCAATATAATCATAAATGGCAATTACTGAAGATTCCTTGGTATCTAGTGATGATTTCTGTTTTTTTTAAAAAGAAAGACATATTAAAAACAGAAAATGACTGCAAAAATATTTGATTACATATATAGTATGTCAGCATTATATATTTCAAAAAAAGGAAGATTTCTAGAATTACACAGTATAGGTGCCTGTAATATTAATACTGTAGGGCAGTGGTCCCCAACCTTTTTATCGCCGCGGACCAGTCAGCCTTTGATAATTTTACCGTGGCCCGCTGAGCGCGC